GACCCATTTTGACAAGGCCGTAAGATTTGGGCAAACAAACAAAATGTAGATGCAGTTGGTTGAACCCAAGGGTTGCCTACGTATCCTATTGCAAGGATCAAACCAGCGTAGTTCAGGGGCAGAATGCAAATGACACACAATGCAACGAAACAATGCAAATGATATACAATGTAACGAAATAATCAAACCACAAGCAGTGCAAAAGCACACAAATATCATAAAGGATTGGCGATGCAACATCAAACTACGTTTAAGATAGAAAAGGTGCCGAAACCCTTAAACCACAAGTCTCTTAGTGGAATAGGCGTGTGCACATGCAGAGTTTACACTTCCATGTTGCAACAGAGAGCAAAACAGTGTATTCTCACAGGTTGTTTGTACTGTTTACCCTCCTTATCATCACACAAGCTCAAAGGAGAGAAACTCTTGGCCCTCTAACCATCAATCAAGCAATTTCCATGTATGATGGCTAAGGAACCAAGTTTGTACAAGTTCAATAAATGCACAAACAAGACAAAAATGACCACCACCCTATCATGCATGATCAAGGATAATGGTGACCTAGGAAAATGACACATTTCATCACTTTGAGTATGAAATGTCCCATTTTCCTTGTGTTCAAATTAACGTCCGATTTGAACACATGCAATGCAACATAAAGAATGCTTATCTTGCACACTTTTACTTGCTAATTTTGTTTACTCATTTTAATTACCAAATCATTCATTAATCAATTAGTCCATTGGTGAGTGTTTTCTAAAGTGAAAGAAGTGTCAACCAAGGGGTAGTTTAAGGCATGAGAGAAGCTTCATGCCGTTGGTAATGAACCCTCAAAAGAGGATTAAACCATTAAGCATGAGCCCTCAACCTCAAGCTTAAACAACCCTAAGGTTGAAACAACCCTCAAAGCAAATGAAAAAGTAAAGAAATGAGGGAGATTGCAGAGATTGTATGTGCTAAAATTGAGTAATAAAAGCACTAAAATATGCAATCAACTCAAACCAATGATGCTTAAAGCCTTAAAACACCAACTATTACACTAGAGGCATGCAAAACAATACTCAAAAAGTACCAAACAGCCAAAACTGTGGCAAAACAGTTCAAAATAGAGTGTAAAACATGTTGGACTCAAGCTAAGTTAGGCTAGAAAAATATGCTGACATATGAAGCTAACTAAGCATGTAAACAAGACATGAGGAGCAAAGGCTAACCCCTCCAATTTTGGACTTCAAAATAAGTTTTTGGCCACTAAAAACAACTCTGAAATTCAATGGTTAGAAGGCTCAAAAGAGTTAATTTGAAAGTGATGAATAAAAGGCACAAAAGCTATACAAGCAAAGAAGCAATAAGGGTAAACCACCCCTAACTAAAAAAGGCTCAAACCACCACTTTGAAGTCACAAAAATAGAGCTTCTCATAGTTCAAAACCAGGCCAAAAACAATTTAAATAGATGACAAAACAAATATCTTGAAACAAAGCAAACAAGACAAGTTTTATACCTGTGAAGCAAAGCTCAATTTTAGGCACCAAACCAAGCTAAAACCACTTCCTAAAGCTCAAAGAGAGTCCCAAAGAAACTCAGCTCAAAGGTAAGGAGATTTGGTTTAGGAGGTATAGGCAAAAGCTAAGGATTTGTAAGCAAACGTACACAAAATTGCAAGAGAGAGAGAGAGAGATGGAGAATTTTGCTCCAAAATTGCTAACCTCCCAAAATGGGGGAGGAACCCCCCTATATATACAAAAAACACTCATTCAGCTTAGAAATATCCCACTATACATGTGTAGGCAGATGCAGCGCATTGTGCTCACAGCTGGCACAGTTGTCAACAAATATCTGGAAAAAGGCATTAGTGGCTGTCGGCCACCACTGGTGGCCGACAGGTCACCAAAGGTTCCAGGCAAGGAATAACAAGGTTTTGGTCCAAAACAAGGCACAAAACATATAAGGTTTCAAGGCTCAAAGGCAGGGCACTCTGCCGAGGACTTCGAGCACTCAAAACGAAAACATGCAATCATAATCATCGAGTACACAAACGATGACGTTTGAGTCCTGAGGACAGTTAAAAATGGGGTATCAGCAGGTTGATATATGAAAAAATGGGGGTTTTCCTAAATGGGTCAAATTGTTATTTTGTACAAATAACTAAAATTGATAATGATAATGTGCAATTGGATGATTGTTGATGTAAATGGTAGAGTTGGACACTTGTTGTCTCTCGCCTATGGAAATTTGAATAATTTATTTGTTGAGGAGATTGTGTATCTGTTTAGAAATATCTATATTGGGCTATCGGTGGAGAATAGCTATGATTGTTGTAGAAATTGCATGAAGATTAGGTGAACTTAAACTAATCTATTGTTGGTTGTCATTGAATATGACTATGTTTGAAATAAATTGTATATGTTTGGGATGAGAAAGGGGATGTACTTCATGTTTCAGAAGAGATAAGGGATGGACTCTATTGAAATTTAGTTGGCTGAAGTGTCTTGGGTGAAAGTCCCGAAATCGCACGTATACATGGGTGTCGATCCCACTAACGAAATTTCCGTAAAATGGTAGATTGAAGTGTTTGTGTGATAATTGTATTGACTTGAGGACCACTGAGTTGCAGCCTCAGTTGGGTTGTTGAAAGATAATGAAATTGACTCATGACTTGAGAAGAATAAATTAACTAGAAATGAATTGAAGGAAAATAGATTGAAATATGAGCTTTGGGACTTTATGACTATTTAAAACGTGAATGTCTTATCACAAGCATTGTAAATGCACATTGTACTTATATTTTTGTTAAATCTCATATATTGTGTTAGATTGTTCCTACTAGGCTTTGGCTCACCCCAGAAACTAAGCCTTAAAAGATTGTGGATCAAACATAAGGAATTGACTTTATTAAAGAGTTAATCTACAGGTTTGGTATTCCACAAACCATAACTGTGGACAATAGGACTGTGTTTGATGAAAGCTAGTAAAAGTTTTCGCAATAGAATATGAAATTAACCTTTTCAATTCCACTCTTATTATGCACAAGCTAATGGGCAGGCAGAATCATCTAACAAATCCTTGAAAAAAGCGGATACAGAAGGTTATGGAAGACAATCCTAGGGATAGGAACAATTTGTTGTTAGATGTACTGTGGGCTTATAGGACTTCCCAAAGATCAACCACATGAGTTACTCCTTATGCCTTAGTATATGTGCATGATACAGTGCTACCTGTGGAGATTAATATTAAGTCCTTAAAGGTAAAATGCCAAGACCACCTAAGTGCTGACCAGTATCATCAAAGCATGCATTTAGAATTAGAAGGTGTGGATGAAGCTAGAATTTTGGCATTAAATATTATCTTTTTGCAAAAAAAAAAAAAAAGGGAGGCAGCCAAAAGTTATGATAAAAGGGTTCAACACGCCAGCTTTGATGAAGGAGACTTGGTTTGGAAAACAATACTTCCAATAGGAATTAAAAGCCACAAGTTTGGCAAATGGTCACCAAATTGGGAGGGACCATACTAAGTCTATAGAGTCTTGTCTGCAGGAGCCTACCATTTGAAAAACTTAAATAAATATGTGCATCCCAAGAAAATTAATGGCAAGTATTTGAAACCGTATTACCCAACTATATGGGAGGCACAAGGAGTTTAGAGATGCCATATGTAAACTTTTAAGTAAACATAAAAAATAAATAAATAAATAAAGTAAATACTTATGTAAAAAAAATCTGTTGGTTCATTTCACAAAAAATTAAGTACATCATGCCATAAATTGGCCCAGAATTCATTACAATGCTTTAACTGTTCCCTTACAGTAGGCTCTCTACTCTTGAGTGGTGGGAATAGTTGTATGGTAGTGTTCATTTCCCACCTACGACTGGGCAACGCCTGATGTATGGTATGTAGCCTCCTTGTATTCTACTCTAAGGCTAGGTTCACTGCTACTAGTTTCCTCTCCAATTCTACCTTTCTATACATAAGTTAAGCTTGAAGTTGTGAGGCCGAGAAGTGTTGTCTCTTTAATACTTAAACTTCAAAATGAACGTGGGAGACAAGCTCCTTATCCTTCAGCAGCTCCTTCTATGTAACCTTAGCCATTTGGCAGATACTGACATAAAAATCAATGGTTACTACTGCCTGGGTTAAGTGGCCTTAAAGGCAACATTAAACTGTTCAAGGAGCTGGCAGCACTTGAGGAATTCGTTTTTGATGGTTGGTTTCTATAAAGCCTCAAATGGAATCCTTGAGAAGGTTCTCAACAGCTCTAAACAAGTGCCCAAATCTACTTGAGGAAGGGGAATGGACTCAGCAACAAATGAGCTTTTGATTATCTCCAGTAAGGAGTCAGCCAAGTCTAGTGCCTCAATGTCACTGCCAGTTGGTGGAACTAGTGTAGATGTATCAAATAGACTCGCCAACTGGGCTTCGAAGATGTTCATTTCCTCTTATGATAAAGGCATTACAAAAAGGCCACTTGTAGAAGGAAGTATGTGAAGAATTGGCATGGGAGAAGGGATGGAAGATGCCTCAGCAGCATCCATCGTCTTAGCCACCAATAAGTCCAAGGAAGTAGAACTGGAGATGGACAGTTGAGGAAATATCGGTGTGCCACCAATGCTACCCCTAGAAGTACTAGTTGCCTTTGGAGGAGGAGTGGTAACAAGGGTACTCTCAGAAGGCAAAAGGCTGGCCAAGACCCTGGAAGATAGAGAATTACGCAGATGTGAGGCAATAGATATCAGGGGTGAGCTAAGAGGCTCAACAGTTCCGGTAGATAGGGACGAGAGAATGATGGACATGTCAGGCCTCGAAGGAATTAAGGAAGAAGCCATTAGGAGTGTAGAGGCATAGATTGAAAGTATTGCTTGTAGGGGCTCTACATCCATTGGAAAGTTAATATTTGTTTTTCATTTCCCTTTCATGATTTCTAGTTCTATGGAGGTTAGAGGTAGTTTTTCAATTTTCCCTAGAGGAAGAGAAGTTGGCATTGAATAGGAGAGATGCATGCTAGTTGTTGTTGTATTCCAAAAATTTTTAAAAAAAAAAAAGTGTAAGGGCACTGCTAACATAAAAGATGTAAGAGACAAAAAGCATCATGAAGGACTGAAGAAAATTACCAACAGTTGCAGTAATGGTGACTAGAGAGCTGCAAAGAGTATGATGCTCAGTAGCTCTACTCTTTCTTGCAGCTTCTTTTTGTGCTACCTCAGCAATAGCAGCCTCCTTACTGGAGATTCTCTGTTGCCTCTTTTTCTTTGACCACTAGAACACAATCATTTCTTTGGCCTACTCCTTCTCTGCTACCTTGGCTGCCACTTTATGAGCAAAATCCATGATAAGTTCGGTAGTAAGTGAGGCTGACCTTTTCCTCCTTTTCAAATGGGACTCCTCTTCTTCTCCTTCTTTCAAAGGGGCCCCAGGTGCCTCTTCCGTAGGCTCAAGTTTTATTTAGGCCTTTTTTCTTTTCAGCTATTGTTGTTTGCCCTTCAATGTGACCAGGGCTTGTGCTTGTTGAGGTGAGGTTTCCTGCAAAGCTCCTATACCAGCAGGAAAGAAGAATTGAGGAAAATAAGAGTATAAAAAAAAATTATAAAAAAAATAAATAAGGAAGAAAAGAAAAAGAAGAGGCAGAGCATGTACCTTTCTTGACAACAGCCCTGGTGATTCTGAGTGAAAGAGCTGTAGCAGGGGTAGAGGCAATAGTGATACCAGCATCCTTAGTTCTAGCTTGCCCACTCTATGGTGGCACATCCAACTCTTTTAGCAAGTCTAGGGTGGGGGTAGCAAGCTGCACTTCCATATTAGTTGTCCACCAGTTCTGGAATCTTTTCATAACTTTATTGTGGCCAGTGAAGGGCACGAATTCAAAGCTACCAAAGTCTTTTGCAAACTTGGTCATTGCTTCATCTAGCATGGACTTTGGCACCATCAAGTTTCTAGCATCAAGGTCTGAGTTAGAGTGTCTGTTGAGAGGGACTGGGATTCCTTGAGTGAGCCCAAATTGCCTTACAAATTGGGCAGGGCCGTAAGCCTTAGCAATGCACTTGTAAGCCCTGGGATTTAGGGTCCCGATGAAGAGCTCTCTTGGAATTAAAATAAGGGCTCACATCTCCATGTGAACAAGCCTGGAACAGGTAGTATCAGCCAAGAAGGCCCTCAATGTTGGCCCCACAGTAGCCTCGAAGGGGCAGAAAAAGAAAGGGAGAATAGAGGCTGGTAAGTGGTAGAAGTAGGAAAAATAATAGGCAAAACTAGAAGGATATAGAGAGACTCAAGCATACTTCTCTCCATAAGTGGTGGGCTCTTGCACCAAAAATTTTAAACAACAAGAGTGGAAGTCGATAAGATAAGCAAAAAGCCAAAGTTGGAGAACCCAAATAGGGCCTCCTTAATTAGTTCTAGAGGACGCTCGCAAAATTGGGATCAAATCCTGTATACATGGCCCAGAACGTAAGGGGCTAAGGCTATCCTCTTCTTCAAAGCCAGAGCCTGGGAAGGAGGAATGAATTCGGGCATTATTTTTTGGGATAAAGTGCAAAAAGGAAATTTGCAAAACTAATAAAGAAAAAGAATTCTCGGTTGGTCACAAGACCCTACCCTTCCTCTTGTTCTCAGTTCTAATGAAATCACTATAAGAGGGGTTCAAAGTAGGAATAGGAAAAGAGACCCTAAGGTCTGGATAATCAAGGCCGAATGGGTCACCAATAGGTAATAGCCCTAAAAGATGGCATATGTCAAGAACAGTGGAGGCTATCATACCACACTAGAATTGGAAAAAGTTAAAGGCAAAATTCTAAAAATAGAGAGCAGCTAGGATAAGGAAGGGGTCCTCAAAGATTATGAACCTTAAGAGTCAAAGGGCATTAAGAATGCAGAGGTCCTGTAGGTCTTGCTCTCTGGCTCTAACCACTCTGTCATACCATTTTTCCCATTCGGTCTTCAATGTAGGCCAGCAGCGATGAGGTCAAGTGGCCCTCCAATCTCCGCAATTGAATTTCCCTTCGTAAAAAAGGTAGTGATCCTCTAATCGTGGGTATAAAGTGGGGAAGTGCAGCAAGAGCTTCAGTGAAAATAGGGCCAAGAATATACTCCCCTTTTGCATGGTGGTGAGGGATGAAGTACCTCCCATCGATTGCACTATTACCCTCTAGTTCATTGTATTTGGCTATTTCCTCATTGATGCATCTCCTCAAGGCCACTGAGGAACGAACACATTTGACGATTGGCAGATTTGCGAAGGAAGAAGCAGCCATTGATGTGAGTTAAAAAAAGGATTGAATAAGTAAGGGCAAGGGTTAGTAATGGACAAGTGTGTAGATAAGAGCATGAGAATTGGGGCTTTATACCTTCTTGTCTAAGTTGCCCATTTAATCTAATGGGCCGCGTAGGTCCAAGCTATTTAGGTTTTCATTTGACCCATGTGGGCTGAAAGCAAAGTTTTAGACCTCCTACTAAGAAAATTTCCTTCGAAAAAAACATCTTGTTACCTTCTAAGGGAAGAAATTGTGCTTCAAAATGCCTGACTTGGCTTTGAAATGGATGGGTTGCTTCGAAGCCAATATTTCCTAGAATGTTGAAGCCTATATGTTAACTTGTATGGAGTTCGAACCTATTTAACAGTTTAAAGGTCTTGAAGGTGCTATTTTGGACTTTCTACGAAGAAAATTCCTTCGAATGAATGTTTTACTACCTTTTGAGGAAGGAAATTATGCTTTGAAACACTTAACTAAGTTTCAAAATAGATGGGTTACTTCGAAACTGGTATTTGCTAGTATGCGAACAAGTTTGAGGACAAAGACATGCATATTAACAAATAAAAACCATGTAATTGGAAGCAAGAAACCTATATTTTATTGAATAAATAGATGATTACATTGAGTGGCCTATTTGGTTACATTCTCAATTTCATAAAAATAGGGAATGGAAAAGGTTACGAGGTCATGGAACTTAGTCCAACAGAACTTAATGAATACATGTTCTCTCTCTAACCTTTCATCTATTCTATCTAATTAGGGTCTCTCTAGCTGGTGCGCCCTTATTTGATGAAAAAGCTGCTGGGCCTTCATCTCAAATTCTGTTTGCTTCAATTCCTTCTCCACCTAATCCATCACATCCATCCCATCCATATTGGCATCCTCTCCATATGCTGAATCATGGTTTTTGAAGTCTTTATATTCTTCAAGAAGATTCTCCGCTTCGTATTAGGTTTGAATACGAGTGGTAGAGATCTCTTCCAATGATTCGCTAGTAGCCAGGGCATTTTTGTGCCAGTTGAGTAGAAAAGGAAGTTGGTCTAAGAAGATATAGAGTTCTATCTGAGCCACTGGGTTGAGGGTATAGCTTCGAGAGACTATATCACAAGCCCATAGAAGGTTCTTGTGAGGGGTGTCATCTCGAAGCACTTTGAAGGATAGGTGGGAAAGAGCAGCAAGCAAGGTTTGGGCTTTGTACTGCTGGTAGGCAGTAGGAATAACTGGGGCCTGATAGGGGATGAAATGCTAGTGCTCGAAGAGGGTGAGCTTCAATTCTTCAATCCAGTTAGGATTATGAGGAATGGGAGCAGTTGGGTCCCCTCCAAAGGAAGGTGGAAACTGGGGCTCATTCGCACACTTTAGCCAGTCAGAAGAGCAAAGTTTTGCTTTCTTGGCCAAGTGCGAGGGGCTCAATTCTAGAGCCTTGATTGGGTGAGGAGTCTTCCGCACTATTTTGGTTGGCAAGGTGGAGGCATACCATGCCGAAAGCAAATTGTCTTCTAGGCAGCGGAGGTGATCAAATGGTATATAGAGGTATACCACTGAGCTGAGAGAAGAAGGAAGAACCAAAGTAGGGTCATCGAATTCAACAAATTCATGGTGAATTCACTCCCTTGTCTGAGGTTAGGTTGGTGTTGGCTAGGCATTCCAACCAGTAGTTTTGGTAAAAGATGAGGCAGCCTCATCCTAAGCAAAGACCTTTGGGATAGATGAAGAGCCTTCAAAATCCATATGAGCAAGTTTTTGTTCTAAAGGTGTATATTCTACAAAAGCCTCCATAACTTGTATAAATGAAGGAGGATATGTATGGCTAATAAAAGCATGAGAGTTCTTTCGAGGTTGGCTATCATTGTCCAAAACCTCTTTATATGCTTGATTAATGAAGGAAAATGTTTGATTGGCCATCAAGGATTTATCAGTCCCTTCGTTTGCACAAATAGTGGAAGTAAAGTTCAAGCACAAGGGGAAGTTCAGTATTTTAAACATTGCTTAAAGACAGTTATACTTCCAGAACAATAAATTGCCATGTACGTCCTAGAACGTGGGCAATAGTGGATCTATTCACTAATATTACCAAGTATTGGTTATATTAGTGTGGGGAGTAATGTTGGTCATATATTTTGTATTAGCCAAAGACGACTTGACACGTGGTCCATCAGGGGTAGCTTGAGGAATTAGTAAATGTC